CATAGAAGATTTGCTTGTTAATGTGGGTGCATTCACATATCCTGTTGATTTTGTTATTCTGGATATAAATGATGATGTGGATGTGCCTTTGATTCTAGGTAGACCATTTCTTGCCACCGCCAAGGCACTGATTGATGTGCATGATGGTAAACTGATCTTGCGTGCTGGAAATGAACAGGCTGTTTTTCCTGTGACTGAGTCTGATCATTGTGCTATGATTTCTGTATCGCCTGTGCATGCTATTTCTGACAAGATACACGAGCCTGTCGTGTATCCTTCTGCACCTCTCATTTTGCAGGACCCGCCTATCATTCCTCCGCCGCCACTCCATCCAGCCTCGCCTTCGAACAAAAAGCTCAAGGAGGAGTGGCGGCCGAAGCCGCAAGTGGCTAAGCCTGCACGGAAGAAAGGTGGAGACCACTATGAGCTGGTCCCACCCCCTGCACCGCGACCACCCTGGCCATCCGAGTACTCACTCGCCTGCATCTTGCCGGATGGCCAGGTCGAGCTGACCACTGCTGGTGGTTGCAACCGTCGGGTGCACGGTCACCACCTGAAGCTGTACCTCAAGAGCGATGTGGATCCGCTCTTGGAGGCACCTGATCCTGCACTTCCCTGAGTATCCACCATGGGCGTCCAGCTAAAAGACGGTAAAGAAGCGCTGGTGGGGAGGCAACCCCACCACGGTTTGACTTTCTTTCTTATGTTTCGAGTCGGATTGCGATTTGGTTTTGTTTTGGTTTGTTTCATTTGTTCTGGATGATGTCTTATTGGGCTGACATCGGACCTAACATATTCTGGTTGAGCTCTTCTGTTCCCCTTGAGCTGTGCTGTGTTCCCGACTGGTCCATTTCCAGTCCTCTGCCGTCCGTGCATCCCGGTAATATCGTTCTCCTTTCCTTCCCTCTTCTCCATTGAGGGCAATGTCGATCTTAAGTGTGGGGGGGATGTTTATCTTTTGACTGCATTAGCTCTGTTTGTGTGCTTGGAGCCTAGTCCACTATCCAAATCTTACGATTTGAGGGCTCCGAGTGCTGCTGTTTGATCATATTGGCACTGTGTTTTGATGGATGAATTGATTGGTTTTCGGATTAATGCATGACAACTTGTTTGCGACTAGGACAACCTATGATGAGGACTGAAATGTGCAGTAGAACGATGTAGGGGTTCAGTTTTTCAACTGTTTGCTTGCCAACTGTGACTTGATCTGACTTGATCTGATTACTTGTCCTTGACAGTCGTTTATGCATCTAGTTCAGGGTATCAGAATGTGAGATAGAGCATATAGGTAGCCATGTGAGATTTGAGCCTGCTCGTTTCTTTCTTGTGCGATAGATCCCTCTTCCATGATGTGTAGCATTCACGTTGTCACTAGCTAAGATGATGGGGGCATAGGATTAGCCCACGCCCAAAACTGACTGTCCTGATGTGTCATATCCCCTAGTCAGCCCCTTTGAGCCGTGTGTTATCCTTTCTTTTGGTCTATAATGAAAAAAAATCACCCTTGTTGCATCTTTTAGAAGGTTCCACAGAGTGGTTTTATATATTCTCTGCTGTGTCTGCTAAAGCCTATGTGAGTGTTGGAGGTAGTGCTTAAAAATTGGGCAGGTGTTTGAAATTTATGCAGAAGTGGGGGCTCTCTTAAGAAATGAAAAGAAAAATGAAAGAAAAACAAAGAAAAATTGAAAGCAAAAGAGAGCCACTGCCAACAATCTGAGTAATGCCCAGTAAGCAGTGTTTCTTAGCAGTCTGGCTTGGAAATGCTGATGATTATGCCTCCTTCGCTCTTGTGCTCTTAAGATATTGAGGAATGCAGAATAGCAGAAAGGAAATACCGGGTTGGTTGACTGTGATTGTGTGTTTGGAAAATGTGGAACCTTTTTGCTATGAATACTTCCACCACCTAAAAGGCCTTTTCCCCATGTCCAAGACCCTAGCCAGTCATTTGAACCTGTGTCTAAGACCTCCTGATTAGTTGGTGGTGACACCCCATATGTGAACTCTAGCATTTAGAGGCTGCCATCATGGTGAAGAGATGATAGGGATTGAGAGAAATAGCATGCGCATCTTTCGCATCAAAAATTGTCCTGACCCCACTGGTCGAGAGTGAGTGATTCATTTCCATTTTCTATATGCTCTTGTACCCCGGTGAGGACCTAGATTGCTCGGTCTCTATTCTGATGTTTTGAGTTGGATGCATGAGTCGACTGTTTTGAGTAAGTGGTTGAATCAAGTCTAGGTTGGCTAGTGAACAGACGGGAGACTCTTCCTTTACTCGATTTGTTGCACTCGAATGTCCTTTGTGGTGGTTGTCCAGGTTGTTATTGAGGTTGTGCATGTATTGATGTTTGAAAACCAGTGCGATTCACGTGTTTTGTGCCTTTATGACTTGTCCCCAGTGTTGGTTGATTGAAATATGTGAGCTTACCTAGTGTCTGACTTGGTTTGCTTGGGGACAAGCAAACGGTTAAGTGTGGGGGAGTTTGATAGACCGATAATCATACATGTTTTCACCCCTATTCTGAAGTCGTTTGTGATGAGGAATCTCGTATTTTAAGCCGATTTTACGCTAGGTTGTGTGTTTATGTCATATTTCAGGTCCTGGCGTTGGAATCGAGGCGAAGGAACGAGTTCTGGATCGAAAGGAGCGAAGATTGGACAAAGGATGCTGCTGGACCAAAATACCCGGCCAAAGGAAGAAATACCCGACCGGGTATATTCTGGACTCGACCGGGTATTTCCTCCTTCGGGCACCCGTGAGAAGCAGAAGGGGGCCCGGGCGAAGGCCTTAAATCCCCGGTCGGGGATTTTGGTGGTAGACCGGGGATTTTTCCCTTAGTCAGACGGTGCGTTTCATAAAATACCCGGTCGAACCATAAAATACCCGACCGGGTATTTTGACCGGGTATCGCGACAGGCAGCTGATAAAACAGGAAGAAGGCCAATTTTCAAAGGGTTCCGAGTTTTTGAGAGAGAAACCGATACCTAGAGAGAGAAAGCGTCGAACCAGAGTTCTCAAGCGCCATAGATCGATCTTCAACACCATTGGAGCCCGTCTTGAGCTTGGAGAAGTGCGATTAAACGTCCAGAAGCAGGAATCCAACTTCACAGTATGATTTCCGTGTCTGAATCTGCTTTTGCTTCTTTCTCTATGGAGTAGTTTCCCCATTCATCTGGGTATGGAGAACCCTAGATTTGTATGCTAGGTCTGATTGTATGAACCCAAGTACAGTGTTTGTGAATTGATTATATTCGATTGAGGTTTGATTGATTGAATGACTTGAATCCTGATCAAATTCCTGTTGTTTCTGCTTTAACCTGGAATGAGAATATCTGCCTAGGTTGATAGAGTACCCTTAATCGAAGGTAGCGAATTGGTGACTTTAGTCGAGGAGCCAATTCGCTATTCTGTACCGAAGTCGATTCGGTAGTGGAGGTTTGGTTCATTAGGGCCTCAATCTGTTTACTCCGGTGGAGGTTAGTCGCCCGCTAGAGACTCAGATTGAGAGGGTCTGGAGACCTTTAGTCGAGACTTCAGGCTAATTGAGAACCTTCCGCAGTATAATTTTCATGAAAACTGAACTTGGTAAAATGCAATCCGACTTAACTGCAGTCTAGGGGGAAACCATATCCGGGTGACCTCTCTTGACTTGACAACAAACCGTTTACTTGCTTTGTGTTTTGTTTGCTTCAGTTTCACTAAAAGTTCACTGCTAAATAACAAGAATTCACCGAGTAGTCATCACATCTAGGACCCGGGTTGACATTAAAACCCGACCCGCTATACTACGCTTTAGGAATTGGTTATACTTGGCCATTTTCTAGGGTGACAGTAGGAGTGAGTCAGCATGTCAGGCGCCTCGGACTCATAGAGCGGGGATAAGGTTGGTGTGAAGTGGGGCTCCAAAGTATACAGGCTCAAATACAAGCCAAGTTGTTATAAAGATGAAGATGTAGCAAACTGCCTTCAACAATTTGCAACTTTGAAGATTTTGAAAAGTTATGCATAAGAAAAAAATGAATTCGATATGATCGAATAATCAAGTGTAATACTATGAGTGTTTGAAGTTTCGACATAGGTAAGACGTACATTGCTGAAGTTGGCCATGCTTTTGCAGCTAGATCGCTTCAGTTAGCCACGATTAACCTAAATTGATTTAGTTGGCCACGATCTGGATAAGATCGCTTCGGTATCTAGAGAACTGGTACCAAAATTACAGAATACTGCAACGAACCATCTCAAACTTTGTTTTGTGAACTTTTAGTGTAAGTGTGGTATTATGGGGACTTTATTAACTTTGATTAAATGGGGCAAAATCCGGTTTTGCACTACAACAAAAACTAGCTTTTGCAACCAAAAAGTTTACAACCAAACTAAAATTGGTTGTGAAAAGGATAGTATATACAACCAATTATATTTTGGTAGCTAAAATATTAAAAATTTGGTTGCCTATTAAAATCAAAGTATTGATAACCAAATAAAATTTGAAAAGGCCAAATAATTTGGTAGCAAAATGATTTTTACTTTTTCCAACCAAATAATTTTGGTAGCAAAATAATTTTTAGTTTTTCCAACCAAATAATTTGGTAGCATATTGATTTTTAGTTTCTCCAACCAAATATTATTGGTTATGAATTTAAGCACGAAATTTGAAAATCTTAGGTAACTAAATAATTTGGTTGCAAATCCAATAAAAAATTCAGCAACTAAATTATTTGGTTGTCAATTTGTTATATAGGTACTATATCTGATATTATTAAAACTTAGTGGCTGTAATAGTAATTATGAAAAACAAGTGTTGTCGTTCATTAGCTGCCATTCGAGTTCATTATTTGATTCCATCCGAGTTCTCCTCCCCCTCTTCTTCTTCCGTCTCCTCATGTCGATTCCATTAGATTTCTGAAATCGATCACTGTGATTTTGATCACAAATAATCTCGCCTCCATTTTTGGCCAATTCCTTCTCCGCTTCTTCTCGTAACAACTCATGTTTTCTAGACGATTCTGGATCGAATCCCTCGCCAGCGTCTGTGAACACCCCATCGTCGTCGAGACGACTCCGCTTTGACTTCGATTGCGGCCGATTGTGTCGGTGTCGGCGACGGCCGAGGAAGAGGAGAAGGCACATACGCCAGCCTAGAGCACGAGCGCCGCTCCAATCCCTCGCCTGCGTTGCTGCAATTTTGATCGCGAGTAGTGCTGCCGCCGAAGGAACCGATGCTTTCTCCTTCGTCTCTCCGATCTCGCCCTTAGTCCGTGCGTCGGGTAAGAACTGATCAGTTATCGATTGAGGTCAATATTCTAATTCTTACTAGAACTGATCATTGTTATTCTTCGGTGTGATTGTTCATTGTGGTTTTTCTAAATAAAGTTCGAGGAGCCGTCGAGTGCTTCATCCGGCGCCCTAGAGATTAGGTTAGGGTTTTCTAATTTGCTAGAGCTTAACTTATTCGTTCTTTGCTCTGGATGGCCAGACCTTGGTGTTAGTTCTTGATTGTAGCACTAGGTGAACAGAATTTTTTAATACTTGGAGCTTCAACTATGGACACAGTCCCCAAACCTCAGTTCTCTATCCCGGAAGTTGATTGATTCAGTTCCTCCTTGTTTGAATTTGCTTGATGTTGTATCAGTAAAAAGGGAGGGGAGGATGACCTGAAGAATCGCTCATAAGGCAAAGGAAGGGAATCAGAACGGATATTTACAAGAGGAGCTAAAATCATTGCAGCTACTAATAGTAATATAGACGTGCATCTCTCTGCTAAGGTAATTAATTAGCAGTCCCACTCATTAATCTAGCTCACATTTCTTGGTACTGATGGTTTAGTTAATCTGTGAGCTAAAGTCTAGATTGATCGTTTAGTGAATTTGCTTTGATTATCGTTTAGCTGCTCCAAGGGACGGTGTAAGACTTCCCTCCTGAATTGGGATTGTGCTTGATGAGTAGCCCATTTAGGTATACCTTGTTTATTTTGCCTTCTGGGTTTATCTATTGTGAATGAGCTAATGGTCCTGCATTTTTCAAGCTTTGTGATAAGCAATTTCCTCTTACATTTCATTAGTATGTTGAAGTTGTTCTAAGATGGTGTCTTTTAGTTTCATGTTCTTTTCGCTGGTGGGGGGCTCCATCTACCTTTCTATCCAAGGAATCCATGATTAGATATGTTAAGCTGCAAGTTTTTGCTTAAGGGGTCTGGTAGGGTGTGAACCAAGTATTTGGCTCATAAAAGACATAATATTTCATAACAGAGAAGCCTATCTGGAACTTGCTTTGGCTATTGGATCATGGTTTTGAAGCCTATCTTTGACAATATGTTCTTTCATTCTTTAGTCTGGGGAGCTGGGATCTAATGGATGCCCTTGATAGTGTTGTTTTTGTTGGGTTTTGGTCTCCTTATTCATAATGCTTTTTGCAGGTATCTCTACTTCTACGAGAAAGTAAACCAGCACATAACAGTGGATGCAGTCAACAGTCTAATTGAACTGATCACTACTGAGATGCAGCAAAATGACTCCAGTTCCAGTTCTAGCTTCTGTAGGGTGATCAAGCCCAAGTGTGATCAGTACAACATTCAGGATGGGCTGCTGGGGTTAACCATGGGAAAAGTGGCGACCATACAGGGCCACGAGGGTATCCGAGTCGCTGTGTTCCTCATCCGCCTCATCTTGGGAATTGCGAGGCCATTCATGGAATCTTTTGAGGATGGATATCGTGGCTAGAGTTAAAAGGTAATTAATCCCCAACTTCCTCGATCATTCCAGTAATTAATTTTCTTACATTCAGATCTGAGTTGGGAACTGTATATTTTGGAGCACTGATTTGTGGGCTATTTAAGTTTTGAGTTGTTGACTGGAGGAGCTATATATTTCCTTTTTGGTGAATCAATCGTATTGCATGCCGTTTAGGGTTCCATTCAATGAAGTAGCAAATACGTATAGACAAATCCACCTGTATGTATGTGTGCATAAGCTAAGCTAGGGGTTGGTAATTAATTGATTGCATGCCAATAGTCTAGTCGGAGCTACATTGATTAACTTTCCATTAATGGTTCGCTTGGAAGGTTTGGATTGTTGTTTATTACAAGAAGATGAGGTTCGGCTATAATTAGTGGTCCGCCCCGGCCGGCCTTTGTGTTTATTACTGCTATGCACATATATAGAAAATGATGATGTTTGAGCAACCTTCTTTTTCGTGTTTTCTAATGGTTATTTTGGCCTGCTATCTCTGTGGTTTTGTGGAGGAAACCAGATTATTGTAAAAAGATCTGGGGGAATGAAATTGTGCTTCCAAAGAGCTTGAAACTGGGAGGACTGTTGCTTTGAAGAAGGTTCGTTTTGACTCTTGTTTACTTCCCATCTACCCTGCAGCATATACCTAGTGTTTGAATATATGGAGCATGACATTGCTGGACTGCTTTCTTACCCGGATGTCAGGTTCGCCAAGTCACAGGTTAGTTCCCATTTTATGTCATTGGTGAAGAAGCTTTTGAATTTTGAAGTTATAGCATATGTATTTATGTTGTTTGTTATGTTTTTATTCTCCCCCTCTGCAGATCAAGTGTTCCAAAGGTGGAATGGCAAATCAAAGATACGTGAAGTAGTTAGTGTGGCCTTTAGGTCCTCTTCTTATTTTTGAATTAGTAGGCTGATTCTTAGTGATAATTTCGTGTAATTGTGATTTTGGTTACTAAACAATAAATTGTGAACTATAATTTTGGTTGGTAAAAAATTTTGTTATATGAAATAAATTTTTATTATAATTCTATTAATTTTTAATATTTTCATTTTAGTGGCCCAAATCTCATCTAGCAAATTAGTCATATGAAATGAATTTTTTGGTCGGCGTATGTGGCCTAAAATAATATGATTGGTCGTCATATGGATTTTTAACGACCAAATTTTATGGTTGCATAACAATTCAATAACTAAAATGATTAGTTGCCAAATATGTATTTTTGACAACCAATTTTTAAGGTTGCGTTAAACTTTCATAACCAATTCCATTGGTCACCAAAATGGTTTAATTGGTTGAGATATGTATTTTTCACGACCAATTGTTATGGTTGTGTTAAACTTTTATAACAAGTATAGTTAGTCGTCTAAAATGATATAATTGGTCGGGATATGTGTTTTTCACGACCAAATTTCATGGTTGTGTTAAATTTTCGTAACTTAAACAATTGGTTGTTGTAATGATATAATTGGTTGACATATGTTAATTTCCCAACCAAACTGAATGGTCACCTATAAAATGTACGTAAATTCTATTTGCGACCAAAAAAATAGGTTACTAATAGCCACATCAAATTGGTTGTCATTTTAATTTTTCGTGACCAATCAATTATATTTCCTAACCATTAATTGGACTATGACAACCAAATTAAAATGGTCGCGAAAAAGTAAGGGTTTTTTACCATTGGCAAATTTGGTTGCGAAAGCTTTCTTTTTTGCTACCAATCCAGATTTTGGTTGCGCTAGGAATTAGTAACGAGTCTATAGCGACCAATGCTGCTGCCAAAATATTTTGGTCACAAATTGGTATTTATAACCAATTTTTGACCTTTAGGAACCAATTTTTTTGGTTGCAAAAAGCCATTTTTCTTGTAGTGTTGGGACATAGCAGCATCCATATTTGGCGACGGCAATGCATCATGTAGTAATGTTTGTAGTCCCGTCAAAGGAGAAAATGGAACAAACAGTCATTTTCGCAATGAAAAATCAGTGGCAGTATGGCACCTACTAGAGCTGGAAGTTTGGTATCGATATTTGGTATTTACCAAATAACGTACAGAATTTGACGATATTTGGTATTATCGAATACACGAATTTTTTCATGGGATTAGAATTATGTTTAAATTTCAAATGTAATTTGGTATCAGAGATTATGAGATTGAGATCGGTATATACCGAAATATCGAATAATACCAAAAAACAATATAAAATAGGTGCATTTTATCCTCCAAACTAATCTCTGCTCAGTCCTCACACAATTTTTACCGGAACTTAATTGCTAACTGAAATATGTATAACCCATTAGCCCACACAATAATACAAAGTCCAATGATACTCTTTAGGACTTTGAAAATTCATACGACTGATATGAGGCAGCTAGCGGCCAGTCCACACGCAACATCTACTCTCATCCCACCAAAAGAATCTAGGTCAGTATCTTCTTCCAGTTTGCCTCTCTCAATTCACAATTGCTAATCGATTCGGCGAAGAGCAAGCAGGCGGCAACCATTAAAAGTATGTCAAGAAATGGAGAAATTATTGCTGCCCATGTAGCTTCAATTATCTCATCTCCAAATCCCGATCGGCAAGTGGTATGGAAAGCAGCTAATATTAAACAATCAAATGTCCTAGCTCTAGGAAAACTAAACTCCTTTTTAGTCTCTTTGGTTTAAATTAAACAATCAAATTTAATTTATATATTTAATTATTAATTGTAAATTTAACTAATTTTGTAATCGATAATACCGATTGGGATACCGGAATACCAATTGGGATACCAAAATATTTAGGGATTGGGATACCGAGATTATTTAAGGATTAGGATTGAAATCGATTTTAGAGTGTAGTTTAGTATTGGAATATGGATACCGTACCGATTTCCACCCCTCCCTCCACCTACACCTAGCCAATGTATATTCAATATTTTAGTAGTGAAACAACGCTGTCGCTGAAAAAGCTCAGATAGGTAAAGTAGGGTTTTCTCGAAGAGGAAAGGAAAGGAGGGATTCGAACCCCATTTTAAGCAAAGCTAAAGGCCAACAAACCACCATACCCTTTCCAGTTTCCCCCATTGAAATATGATTTGCATGCTGATCATTGGCTGGAAGAATGATTTCCCACTAATCCACAATTGTTAGATCTTAATGAATTTCAGGTACAACGGCTGACAGACGACCGGCCAACACACATTTTCCCCCATTCTTGTTGGCGAGGGTCCCATGACATGGCTCGATATTGAGAGTCGGCAGGGTCTTCTTGCATCTATAGTTCCCTTCATTGATTCAATTATTTCATTTTTATGATCAAATTGATTCGTTTGGTTGTATAAAATTTGCACAAAACAATTTGGCTAATGAAGTTTAAATCTACTCATTTTAAATTATTTGATTTGTAAAATGAAATAATTAGTTAAGAATAGTCTCAGGCCGAATCCGTGATCCGTACCCTTCAAAATCCAAGTAAAATGGATTTTCGAAAAAATCGCACGAAAAAATATGAACATGCCCCTCGAAAAATATTCGCCCAAATCCGCGATGAATATACTTCATCATCGGTGGAGAATAGCCACAGGTCTCCTTAGGGCGAATCCATGATCGGTAGGCTTCAAAATCCAAGTAAAATGGGCTTTCGAAAAAATAGCACGAAAAATTATGAAAATGCCCCTCGTAAAAATCCCCCCAAATCCGCGATGAATACACTTCATCATCGGCGGAGAATAGCCACAAGTCGCCTCAGGGAGAATCCATGATCTGTAGGCTTCAAAATACAACGAAAAATGCTCTTTCGAAAAAATCGCTCGAAATCTGTGATGGTACCCCCTTTGGAATCTATAAAAAACGGACCCAGAAAAAATCTGCCCAAATCGATGCTCAATAGACTTAATCATCCGTGAATAATAGTCTCAAACCGAATCTGTGATCCGTAGCATTCAAAATCCAAGAAAAATGGACTTTCGAAAAAAGCGCACGAAAAATTACGAAAATGCCCCTCGAAAAAAAATTAGCCCAAATCGTCAATGAATAGACTTCATAATCAGTGGAGAATAGCCACACACCGCCTCAGTGCGAATCCAGGATCTATAGGCTTCAAAATCCAAAGAAAATTCCCTTTCGAAAAAATCGCCTGAAATCTGTGATGGTACCCCTTTAAATCTGCCAAAAATGGATCCGAAAAAAATCCGCCCAAATCGATGCTTAATAGACTTAATCATCAGTGAAGAATAGTCTCAGGGAGAATTCGTGATCCGTACCCTTCAAAATCCAAGTAAAATGGGCTTTCGAAAAAACAACACGAAAAATTAGGAAAATGCGCCTCGAAATAAATTCGCGATGAATATACTTCATCTACGGTAAAGAATAGCCACAGGTCGCCTCAGGGCGAATCCATGATCTGTAGGCTTCAAGATCCAACGAAAATTTGCTTCCGAAAAAATCGCCGGAAATCTGTGATGGTACCCCTTTGGAATCTGTCAAAAATGGACCAAAAAAAAATCCGCCCAAATCGATGCTTAATAGACTTAATCATCGGTGAAGAATAGTTTCATGCCAAATCCGTGATCCGTAGCCTTCAAAATACAAGTAAAATAGGCTTTCGAAAAAAGTGCACAGAAAATTACGAAAATGCCCCTCAAAAAAACTGCCAAAATCGGTGATGAATATACTTCATCATCGGTGGAGAATAGCCACACACTGCCTCACTGCGAATCCAAGATCTGTAGGCTTCAAAATCCAACGAAAATGCCCTTTCGAAAAAATCGCCTGAAATTTGTGATGGTACCTACCCCTTTGGGATCTGCCAAAAATGGACCCTGAAAAAATCCGCACAAATTGGTGCTTAATAGACTTAGTAATCGGTGAAGAATAGTCTCAGGCCGAATCCGTGATCCGTACCCTTCACAATCCAAGTAAAATGGGCAATAAAAAAAAGCGTATGAAAAATTACGAAAATGCCCCTCGAAAAAATTTGCCCAAATTCGCGATGAATATACTTCATCATCGGTGGAGAATAGCCACAGGTCGCCTCAGGGCGAATCCATGATCTATAGGCTTCAAAATCCAAGTAAAATGGACTTTCGAAAAAATTGCACGAAAAATTAAGAAAATGCCCCTCGAAAAAAGTTCGCCCAAATCCGCGATGAATATACTTCATCATCGTTGGAGAATAGCCACAAGTCACCTCAGGGCGAATCCATGATATGTAGGCTTCAAAATCCAATGAAAATACCCTTTCGAAAAAATCTCCCGAAATCTGTGATGAATAGAATTCATCATCGGTGGAGAATAGCCACACACCGCCAAAAATGGACCTGAAAAAAATCTGCCCAAATCGATGCTCAATAGACTTAATCATCCTTGAATAATAGTCTCAGGCCGAATCCGTGATCCGTAGCCTTCAAAATCAAGTAAAATGGCCTTTCGAAATAATCGCACGATAAATTACGAAAAATGCCCTCGAAAAAAATCCGCCCAAATCGGTGATGAATAGAATTCATCATCGGTGGAGAATAGCCACACACCGCCTCAGTGCGAATCCATGATCAATAGGCTTCAAAATCCAACAAAAATCCCCTTTCGAAAAAATCGTCTGAAATCTGTGATGGTACCCCTTTCGAATATGCCAAAAATGGACCCGGAAAAAATCCGCCCAAATCGATGCTCAATAGACTTAATCATCCTTGAATAGTAGTCTCAGGCCGAATCAGTGATCCGTAGCCTTCAAAATCCAAGTAAAATGGCCTTTCGAAAAAAGCGCACGATAAATAACGAAAATGCCCCTCGAAAAAAATTCTCCCAAATCTGCGATGATTAGACTTCATCATCGGTGGAGAATAGCCACACACCGCCTAAGTGCGAATCCATGATTAGTAGGCTTCAAAATCCAACGAAAATGCACTTTCGAAAAAATCGCCTGAAATCTGTGATGGTCTCCCATTAAAATCTGCCAAAAATGGACCCGGAAAAAATTCGCCCAAATCGATGCTTAATAGACTT